CAGTCAGCGCGGGGGCAGGGTGTTGCTGATAGAAGTCCTCTCCCGCAAGGACCCTCCAGGCTGGGGGTGAAGTCCAAGAATTCTCTGGCTAGAGGACAGCTCACTTCCTCCAGGCCATGAGGTCCCTCCAGGTTAGGGACAGGACCCTGAAGTTCAGCTTTGGGAGCAGGCTTGGGTCCAGGTCCCCAAGGGGCCCTCAGTGGCTCAGAGTGTCCCCATGCTATCCCCCTTCCCGGGGTCCTGTCAGCTGGGTGGCGGCCTGTCCCCTCCGTACCTGCTTCCCGTCCACTTTCTGGCTGAGCCCTCCTCTCCCAGACTCAGCCGCTCCAGGGTAAGGCCGCGGGGCCCGGGGGTGCCCGTGCTCCGTGCTCTGCTCCCTGAGACCTCGGGCTCACCTGGTCACTGCCCTGCAGGTAGAAATCTCGATATTAACCCAGAAGCCCTGGAAGCTTTTCAGAGATTCATTCAGCGCAAGGGATGGTCACCGGAGGACATCTTCATGCCCGGCCAGATGAGTAAGGGGACCGACCACTCAGCCGGTGCTCCCATGTACACCCTGAATCCCACTTGTCCCCTCATGCCTCCTTCAGGTCCCTCATGTCCCACTGTGTCCCTGACCCTCCCATCCCCTCCCTCTATCCCCTTTGAGAGGGAGACATCAGTGCTGGGACATGTCACAGGGACACTGGGGTCCCCACTCTGGGTTTTTGTTATTGGAGTCTGAGTTGAGGGCAGTGATGGGGTCAGGGCCCTCATCCAGGGGGTCATCTCACTCCTGGGTTTTTCTTGGTTTCTACAGAAAGATGCACTCCTGAAAGTGATTAGGGTAAGTGACCCTCGAGGTGAATGAGAGTCCTGGATTTAATGGGACACCAAGGGCCACTGGGGGGACTGCGAGGGGGCACCCTCAAGTACAGACCGCAGGGACCCCATGTGGGCCAGGCAGAGCCTTCTCTGCCCTGAGATCCCCTCTGGGCCCTGGTCCCTGCTTCAGGTGTCTGTCCCAAACATCTGTCCCAAAAAGGAAGGACTCTTATGGAGTCCTTTCTTTATCTGCTGGGTTTGCTATTTGTGCAACTCAGGAACAATGGGCCCAGGTCTGTCCCCACCACACCCCTGCACCTGTAGGAGCTGGGACCTGTTCCCCACCCCCTGCCACTGCAGCCCCCAGAGCTCCACCTCTGCCCCCTCCAACCTCCCCTTCCTGGCCTCACTGATGCTCCTTCCTTTCTAGGGCAGGGGGCTCTACACTCCCCAGGGCTGCACCACCAGGACCACTCTCCTGCAAGACAAGGAAGGACCCTCTGGCCCCAGCCCACTCT